GCACGGGCTCCCTCTTCGCCTTCCTCTCGGTCGTCGTGCTCGTCGTCCCGTTCTTCTTGTTGCTCTTATCGGTCCGCTCGGCACTGGCAGCCTCGCACCGCCCAGTAACCCGCTCCGATCGCTCCACCAGTTCGCACTTTTCTAGAACACGCGTTCCCGTCGCCGTCGTCGTCCTCGTCGTTGTCGATGTCGTCGTCGTCGTCGTCGTCGTTGCTTCTTGTCACTTGACCGCCTTCCGCTCTTCCCTCACTCGGTCACCAGCTGCACGCGTATCTCCGGATGCAGCGAGCACCACTCGCGAGACGCGATTAAGGCGAGTCGATACCGCGCCAATTACACCAGCCGATAACCCCGAATTCGTCTCGCGGTAACCCCGGGCACCCCTCTCGGGCCGCTCTTAGGCCCGGCTCAGCCCTAAACCCGACACACGAACAACCGTTTTCGAGCACCAGGTAGCCTAAGCCTGGCGCGCAGCCATCCTCGGACGCGCACGACGAGATCGTGGCTGGCGAAGATCGACCCGCGATCCGCAGACAGACACGTTAGCTCCGGGAACACGTTAGCGCGGAGGGTGGCGAACCGTGCATGCTCCTCCGAAGACTTTTCACCCCTGCGGACTACGGCTACGGCGTCGAAGGTCCCGCCGAGAGCGACAAACGGCAAGCCTGCGATCCCTGACCTCTCTCTCTCTCTCTCTTTCTCTCTCTCTATCTATCTTTCGAACAGGGTGTCTCTCGGTGTCCCTTCAATGACCCCGCTCGCTGGTACCGAAAGGGTAGCCCTGTTCCCTGGAGCCAGTCAGGCTCGTCCGACGGCGTTTTCCATTCGCTCCCCTCGTTCCGTCTCTCCGTCGCGCGGTCTCCTCTCCCGTTCGCACGTGCACGCGGCTCGAAACGCCGGAATCCCGTCGAGCAGGCCGAGAGAGAGAAACGGAGAGATGCTCGCGGCTCCGCGGTTCGCGCGCGACTGGCTGAGGGCGAGAGTCGTTATTGGGAGCAGAGCGCACCGCTCCGGTGAAGTCTGTTCGCTCGTCCGCCCCTCTCTCTCTCTGTCTCACCAACCCCCGGACCGCGTTGCTCGGCGTCTCCTTCTCTCTCTCTATCTCTCGCTCTCCCTCTCTCCTTCTCCATCTCTTGCTCTCTCTCTCTCTCTCTCTCTCTCGCACTCGCCGTGCCCCACTCTCGCCGTCTCTCAGTCCCTCCCGCTGGTTCTCCGTCGCTCTCGCACCGTTTGCTACCCGCCTTCTCCACCCTCCGTTCGCCGACGACCGCAGCTTTACCTTCTTGCTCGCTCTCACCTTTTTCCCGTCCCCGACTCTCTCCTGCGGCCCGCGGCTGACTCGGTCTCGTTCTCTTCGCCGAGACGGAGCCGAGCGTTCGAGCTCCTCTCCGTCGCTCGGTTTCACTCTCTTCTTCGCTCCGTTTCGCTCGGCGTGGCTCTCCTGCTCCCTCGACCGCTCGTTCCGGCGCGGAGCGGCGTTCACTCTCGGCTCCCGTTCGACGCGGAGCAGGCGCGAAACGAACGAAACCGAAACTTAAGCTCTCGGCTGTCGCCTCCTCCGTCTCTTCTCGCGCTGCCGGCCCGCGACTTCGATTCGCCTCTTCCTCGTCGCTCGGCCCTTCGTCTCCTTCTCCTCGTCTTTCTCTATCTATTCTTCTCTCTCTCTCTCTCACTCTCTCTCTCTTCCTCTCTTTCTCCGCGTTCAACCCTCTCGCTCGTTCCTCCGAAGCCTCGAGCTGCCGTCTCCACGCGCGAAGGAACTTGTGCTGCGCGTAGGCCTCGTTCCCGAGCCGAGAAGACGCGCTCTACGCTGTCCGAAACTGGTTGGAGAGATGGCCGGCCAGCCAGGCACTCGTTTCGGCATCGTAATCAACTGGCCAGACTGCTGTTCCACACACACACACACACATACACATACACACACGGGGCCGGCCATCCTCCCCTCTGCGATCATCGTTCTCACCCTACTTTTACCCACCCCTTCTTTCTGCATTCCAGACGAACCTCGGCCAAGGGAATGAGTCCCCGATGCGCGCGCGTTTACGTCGCTCTTAGAGAATCGGTGTACGAAAGTCTGGCAGCTGTTCGATCCGATCCGATCTGATACGCGGCCAGCCTTCTTTTCTACTCTTCTTTTTCTCCGCTTTTTGTTTCTCTTTTCTCTCGTTCTCTTCTCTCTTCTCTTTTCTCCGTCTCTTTCTCTTTCTCGTCGTTTTCTTCCGCGGGCAACGCGGCGGAGCCCATTTTCGCGTTCGAAACCTATTTCGCGCAACCGGCGACGACCACGGGACTGCTCGACGTACAGAAACTCGACACAAAAAACCATAGAATTCGAGTGAAAGCGGCGACTCGCCGCGCCGTAACGGTGATCGCGTGGCATCGCGTACGATAGCTCAGCCGAGAACTCGCGTAATTCCGTCGGCGACGTTTATCGCGCGAGGAAATGCTCGCCGAAATTCACGTGCTCGCTGGCCGAGCAACTTATCCTCAATAATCGTTAAATAAAGAATCCGATGTATGTATACGGATGTCGGTTCTTTACTGCGAACGTCTTTTCGCTGCCGCAATCTCCTGTAATCTTAGACGTGGTTCGCTTCACCTATGAATAGACGTATTTGAAATTTACATCGAATTCCTGATTAGTTTCACGGCACGCGTCGCGGCGTCTGAAGATCGTCGTTTGTTCTCGATCTCGCCACGTGAAATTCAAATATTCCATTTTGAATTCCTACACTCGGATGGTGTGATATGTTTTAATAATACAAGCTTAATTGTTAATTCAAATACAACGGGTAAGTAAAGTTAATTGAAGTGTCGATTAAGTAAATGTTAAAGTTGAGGAAACGACGGTTCCGTTGGTTTATAGATGCAGATGATGATTAACGCTAGATTTACGGAGCACAAAATACAGCCGTTTTATATTAGTTTATAAGAGTAACAATAAGACATTTATTCTGATTTTTAACAAGCGTTGTTGTATCATTTGCCGTAAGTAACATATAAATTGAATAAATAACTCGTAAATGTATCTTAACGATATGAATGATCGCAAATTAAAAAATTAGTGAGATTGACAATATGGAAAGCAACAAGTACATGAGCGAAATAGCGATTGTATTAATTTTTATTACCGATTATTTAACTTCTGGCTATACGACATTGCCAAATATACGACCGATATTCGCAATTCTTAAAAAAGGAAATCGTGTATTTTCACTTGTAATAGTTTGCTTTATGTCAATCTGTGGGAACAAATATATAATATTTTCTTTTGGAAAATTGTGTCAAGTAAGAAAGTGATATTTCTTAACCATTTTTCTGAACCTGTAACGAAAATTTAAACAATGCGGTCCGTTGATTTCCGTAATTTATACGCACGCTGCAAATCTTATCGAAATCAGTTAATCCTTCTTTGTCGCTAATAAATTTCTAGACGAAAAAGATGACTCATATTTATCGCATGTTTTAACACTAGATTTACGGAACCCGTCGAAATGACGGGTTAATTTATGAGTTATTTATTCAATGTATATGTTATACTTGCAATGTTACAATAACGCTGATTAAAAATCAGAATAAGTGTCTTATCGTTGCTTTTATAAACTAATACAAAATAGCTGTTTTTTGTGCTCCGTAAATCTAGTGTTAACATCGCGTTAATATTCAAATACCAATAACGAAAAAAAAGACTAGAATTTTATTCCGATTTAAAGCAAGTCCATATAAACCATATCTAGTAGATTATGTTAGATGTATTGTGTCGTCATAGTGCCATAATGCTTAACACAGAGTCAAGTTGCAGCTAAAGATCTCGGGATTTTCTACAGCTGTCGGTCGAAACTGCCGAAAAAATTGTGAGAAACCGCACCCTTCGCACTCTTTAATTGTTTGTATTATAGCTCGTAACAACGTCAACCAATTTTGACGAAATAAGTCACCGTGACCGACAAAACGCGTTGCTTAAATTTCCATTCTATTCTTAAAATATAAACAGCATAATTTCTTATTCTTTTTCGTCGTTCGAACCACAAATCACAATTTCTGCAAAAAATGATTTCACTCGATATCTAGCAACCTGGTGCTTCTAACATCTGAATTGAAATCCAAGACATTCGTTCCAGTTTTGAAAGAAGTTATTCCGCCTTGAAAGGTGTACCGAATATTATATTCAGTGATTGTGTTCGCTCACATTTATGTACACACTGTGTTTCCATACGTGTAATCGCCATACTGCGACTCCCATGTGCACGTGTCCTTTAATTGCGCGCTCGAAACCGTAATCGGTACCAAATATCTCTCTCGAGCGGAAATTGGGGAAGGAAGGAGTATATATAAACATAATTATTGACCGACCCTCTTACCTCTTCTCTGTGTACCGATGGGGTGCGTGTATCCACAAAGGATAAACGTCCTTTGGCATGGTTTATTAGCTCTCTTTACGTGTCGCGGATCCGAGCGGGAATCTCTCTCTCTCTCTCTCTCTCTCTCTCTCTCTCTCTCTACCTCGAAAAAAAAGAACGACGAAACAAACGCGGGGTAACGCCTCGATGAAAGTTCCCGTAGAAAGTGTATACAACCGATCGACTTCCTAGATACGATCAAATTACTTTCGAGAGCGAAGGGGGTAAGGGAACCGACGGAATTCAATTTCGTTTCGGTTTGTTTCCCGGATTCGACGTTCCCGCCGTAATCTCTGATATTGTCTTCTGCGGTATTTTTCGGCCTCCGTCCGCCTGAATTCGAGCTCGAATTCCGCTCGGAAATTCTTACGCAATTTCTGGCGTAACGACGCTACTGTTTCCACCGAACCCCCGCACCGCGCCGAAGCGATTTAACGCTCTATCTGTCAGTTATTCAATAGCCTTTGAAAAATCAACGATTATCAGCCGAGGATTTCCTCATCAATTTTTCAACGTTGTCGCCGAATATAACGGAGAATCAACAGGTTGCCGTTGGTATCATAGATTAATTATTTCGGTTCGTTCGGTGCAAGAACTTACCTTTTTCGTCCTGGTTAACCCTTAGAGTGATGCGTCTTCCACAAATGGGACCTGAAAGATGCGAGAAGCTTGAATCAGCAATCATGTCTTAACTTCCGAATTTTGAATTTATTTAGTTACTTTGATCCCGCGGAATTGTTGTGCTTTGTGCTCCTTTATTATTCATATTCTCCACTTCCTATAGTTTTAGATTAAAAGACAATGATTTGTGGTAAGCCAGGGATTGCATTTAACTATGATTTGACTGGAAACTTTTATAAATATAATATTTAATAATAAAAATATTTAGTAAACTTTTAACTTCTGAATTATTTATCCTTCTGCTTTAAGTTAATGTAAAAGTTAACTAAATATTTTTATTATTAAATATTTTATTACTTTTAATGTAAAAGTTAACTATAACTGCAGAAGCTTGGATTTAATGTTAACACTTTAATTCTGTTACAAAAGTTCGATTTTAACAGTAATTTTGTATTTGATCGATATAAATTCTGCAGGAGCATTGAGACTTCTTAATAGATATTTTAAAGTAAGATATGAGCCGTTTATTTTGAAAGTGGCCTAACTCCGTTTTCCAATTTTTTGCCGGTTACCATGGTTAAATGTACAGCTTCATGTTACTTATATTCAGGTTGCTTATATTCAGAGCAAATACGATAAATTTTTTACACATAAGTTTTCAGAATTAATTAAATAACTGAGCCGTGTAGTTTGAAAGTGGCCCAACTCCATTTATACTTACATCAAGATATTTACTATTGATAATGTCGAAAAGCAGTGATGAAGGTAATTTCAACTAATTAGTATTTACAAGTTAACCTAATTTTTGGGAAATAACGCAACAATCTAGCCAGCAGAAACGGCTGAATGATTCTAAAAAGAAATGATATCGCACGTGGATCCATCGTTCGCATTTATGGAAATGAAGCAAAGAAAAGTTAAGATTTACAGTGACATGTGCACCGGGCAAAATAGAAACATTAAAGTAGCTTTAATGTGGTTAAAAATTGTCCAAACTTTAGATAATAATGTGGAAATCATAGATCACAAATTTTTAATATCAGGACATTCGTTTTTACCAAATGATAGAGATTTTGGCGTGGTAGAAATGGCATTAAAAAAAACAATTTACTGTTCGTTCCCCAGGATTATTACAAGATTATTAAAAAGTGTCGGAAGGGTAATAATTTCATTGTAAATGAAATGAGACAGGAAGATTTTGTATCAACAAAATTATTAGAAGACGCAATTTTTAAAAGGGCAAAGAATTCTGATGGAGAATCAGTAAACTGGTTAAGAATATGTTGGATGCGTTTTGTCAGAAATGAACCATATAAAATTTTATATAAGACATCAATGAATGAGGATGAAAATTTTAAAGTCCTGAATTTATTACCACGTCGGGGCAGACCAAGAAAGTTCGAAAATATTGTATTGACACCATTGTATAAAACTATTAGACAAATTACAACAGCAAAATTTAAGGACATAATTGACCTATTACGATACATACCACCAGAACATCATGATTTCTTCAAATCACTTTCACACGCACAAAATGTAGACGAATAGTAAATTGTTTTGTAATAAATTTATGTTTGTAATTTTCTTTGTTCTGTAATTAAAAAATGTTTTAAATCGCATAAATTATGTTTCCGAAGTGTTTTCAAGATATGTAAAACAAATTCAGTACTGTTTTTTTTCAATTTGAAACATCTTAAATTATGTTGAATGGACTTGGGCACCTTCAAATTTTATAATGAATCTGGCTGTTAATTTTGAAAGTGGCCCAACTCCATTCTTGATAAGAAAACGCACGTTATTTACTTAATAATTGCCACTATTTTAACAGGAACTTTAAATTTAACATCCTTAGATACGCTTAAGCAGTATGACTCATTAGTATCCTATACGTATATTTTTATAAATTCATTGAAACGCAAAACTTTAAATATCTCGATTTGAAGATAAATGGAGTTAGGCCACTTTCAAAATAAGCGGCTCATATAAAGGTTTACGATTTTTTTATTTTCAATTAACTTAGCATCATTTAAGAAATTTAGGAAACAGGATGGATATAGCTGGATAAGCAAGTCGTGATTATGAAAGTCGGGAGTAAAAGTTTTAGTAGAGTTATAACTGTTTCCTTAGAATAAAAAAGTTCAAAGTCGAAAAGCAACGGTTACATCGGAAACAATTGAAAATTGTAACAGTTTCGTTCAAGCTCTGGTAGAAACAACTGTAAACGTCGAAGGTTTCAATTTCTGTTACACATTATGGTTGCACGAAATACTCGTTTATGTTACCTTAACCAAGTGAAAACTAGTATAAAAATACCACCAACACTCGCACGCTACGTGAGTGGATATTAAACTGTGTGTTATTAGATTAATTAGGCATGTACAGTATTGCACAAAAATGTTCGTACACCTTTCAAAACGCAATAAACTTTTCAAAACTGAACTAAATGACTTGAATTTGTTTAGGTGAAGGAGAGATTAGTCTACTAGATGATGGCTAAAAAGCTTTTTTTCAATTTTGCTATCACTTGGAATGAAAAGGAAAAATTGAAAACCCTCGTTTTTTTAACTTTTTTATCCGAACAATTTATATCTCGGTAACTTACATGCGTGCTGAAAATTTGATCGAAATCGGTTTCAATCGGAATCAGAGACGAAGGATTTTCAAAACTGCTGATTTCTTACAGTTTCTGGTCGAAATCGCGATAAAACCGCGAATTTTGCGATCTTTAATTTGTTGTAACTCGTAACAACGTGAATCGATTTCGAGAAAATTTTCAATATGCATATAAGTTATCGAGATCTACGAAAGACATCTTTAAAATTTTCGTTATAGACTCAGACACAAAAAAGTTAAAAATGAGAGATTTTTATTTTATTGTTATTCCAAGTAATAGCAAAATTAAAAAAAAAACATTTTAACCATCGTCTAGTAGACTAGTCCCTCTACATCTAAAAAACAATTCGAGTCATTTAGTTCAATATTAAAATAGTTATTCTGTTTTAAAAGGTGAACGACAACACTTTTGGAGGCGACTGTACATCGGTACAGTCACGCCGTAATTAACGGACTACAATAGTAACGATTAGCCGAGAAAAATGTTGGGTCATTACAAGCGCTACGACATATAAAAAACATGGTTCGCTCGAAGGATGCACGATTAAAACGATGCACGACATTTCTGTTTACACTGTCCATAAGGCTAGCAAAATTTTTATCGGCAGAAAATGGATGCTGGAAACTTTGTCGAACGGGATGAAACACCCTTTTATCCGAAGTCCTAGATAATCTATGCGACGTTTCTTCCGATAGGAAATTACTAAAACGACCCGGATCGTCGGTGTTCCGCACGACACACGCAGCGCATTGAAAGAAAATTATTGAGCTTCATTTCGATACGATCAGTTATCGAGCAGCTCGTTAATGGGCTTCCGGTGGATAAAGCGTTAAGCTGAATAAAAACAATGTAACCTAGGAAAGCGTAAAACCTGTCCCGCGATCGAAAGTCGTCGACACCGAAGGAACAGATGCGACCTAAAGGTAGGATTTCCTATAAGCGTCGGACGTAAACGGCTGGACGTATATGCGTTCGCCGCTTGCTATTAGACGAAACGTCCGCATGCAGATGATATTTTCTATCGGCGTCGGACGTGTGCGATCAGACGCATGCTTCGCGTATGACTTGCATACGATGCATTTATTATTTCGTGGATTGCCGTCTAGAGGATAGAAGAGCGTGTAGAGAGAAGACGAAATAACTCTTTGAAATGGATCGAAATTTACTTGCACTTTTGCTGCTGTTGAAAGAAGACGATGTTGAAGAAATTGTGTCGATTATTCTGACAAAAGGAAAACAAAATTAAAGTATTAAAGTATCAAAGATGTATGTAAAAAGAAAGAAGAATTTATTGTAACATTTTAACACTATGCCGTCCGCAGATCTTAGATACGATTCTTTTGTTTGACGCCGGCATAATAGCTTGGAAATTTTAGATTTTCAAAAAAATTTCGAAGATGGCGGCAACATAAACTCCTAAAATTAAGATAAGTCATCCAAGAATATTCGTACTTAATTCTTAGTTAAATAAGCACAATGCTATAGTTAGGTGCTGCCTTTTAACACCCAAGAAATATAGTTCAAATGTTATTTCAGTTTCTTAAAATGCCACCAAAGTGGTACCACCGGCGTACAACAGATAGTTTTTGCATGGCACCAGCGTGGTGCCACCGGACGGCATAGTGTTAATGAGAAAATATTTACTGCGTAATGAGGGAACCTGTAAGCAGTTTTGTCGATTGTACGGAGAAGAAGTTAATTTTATCTTAAATCTTAGTGGCTACAATTCTTTGGACATTTCTATACGTCGATTTTAATCACAATGCGGCATAAACATACAGCGGCCCACAAAAGTGTTCGTACACCTTTGAACCGATTTCGATCAAATTTACGAAAGGCCATACGAAAGACAAAAATACGAAAAGCATTTTTTAAATTTTTGTTATAGGCTCAGATAAAAAAGTTAAAACGCGAGAGTTTTTAATTTTTTCTTTTCATCCCAAGTAATAGCACAATTTAAAAAAGGCATTTTAGTCGTCGTCTCTATGAAACTTAGTTCCTCTATCATCTGAAGAAAATTCAGGTTATTTGGTTCAGTTTAAAAAAAGTTATTACGTTTTAGAAGGTGTACGAACACTTTTGTGGGCCACTGTACGGTCGTCGTAGGTTCGCTTATAAATAAATCGCTTATAGGAAAAACAAAAGCATTTTCCGTCATATCGGTATGAATGCATCCGACGCGTATAGGAAATCCCGCCTTCACGGCGCAAAATCGAAGACAAAGAGCGTCGATTTTCTGAAGTTCCCATTAAAAAGAAGATGTCGGAATCTTGTGAGTCCGATCGTTTTTGTCCCCGATCGGTCGACACCAAATTGCGCAATTTTAAACATCTCACAGTCCGTGAGTCAAGAGTCGACTCGTTTCGATTTCTATTCAACAGTCAGTGATATCGCGTTCGACGATCGGCGCTAA